CTTCTGATACGCTTCTTTTGATGACGCTGTAACCAACTTTTCTAATAAAAGAGACCTTCGATGTTCATTCGAAGTTCGCTCATCCCAAGAATTTCTGCCTGGTGTTTTCCTTTCAATTCGGCCAAGGACACATGAGCAGCCCTCCAGTGTGGTAACAACGCTGCAATATATACCTGAATAGTACTGAGTCTAATTCATTAAGAGTACATTTTTGGGAAGAGCTAAATAAAATATTGGATTCCTGGTATACATACAATTAGAAAAAACTAATAATGGAGTGTCAGTTCATATTTTTGAGGCACTGTCACTTCTGAATGAATCAATAATCATGCAGCTATTCAAAGATGCTACTGCAGCTCTCTCTTGTGCTATGCACCTGATTATTTTTATGTAAACATTTTGGACAGCAGGGAAAAATCTTTATGATACTAGATGATCTTCTACATGAAAGTCATAAGAATTTCATTTTTTGAATGGGCAGAATTATATGTATTAAATATGAAAAAGTTTACATTGACCTTTCTTAAATAACATGATTTTTAGAGTTCTCCTGCTCTTTAAATTCCCCAATGTATGGGGGTTATTTACATCATCTAACATCAACTAAATAAGTGTGATATTTAAAAGCAGGGTTTTTTTTTTACAAAACAAAACAAAACACCTTAGGTGCTTAGGTTTTTCATGCATTTCTTGAGTGTGCATAAACATCTGAGGTTTATGAATCAATACGAATACTAATGCCAGTCTGGGGGGAAATGGGATGTATGCATCTCTAGTTTCTGCACAGTATTCTACCATTCCTAATAATAGGCAAATCTCTTACAGTTTATTATTAAAATATAATTTCTAATATCATACAACACAGAGAAGAAAAACTTATTTAGTTATTTTTATAAACTGACTAAATAGAACAAAATTAGACTATTTCTACAACTAAAGAAAATACCTCTCTGCCAATGCCTCAGTACCTACCCCAAACACCAGATGGAGTTCCAGCTGGTTTACCCTGGCTGTGCTGTTTTCCAGCTTCTGGATTCAATGATGGCTGTAACAAGCACACCAAAAAGTCATACGCATTTCATGTTTTGTTACAGTTTCAATTTCATTAAATTTCCTAGCTAGAAATAAGCATTTGACCCAACATTAGGTTCTCCAAGTATAGTAACATTGACAATTTACCTACACAGAATCTAGTATTCGTTTTGTAATGCATTCTGACAGGAGAAAAGTGTTGCACATTAAAACCATAAGAAACAATTATAAATGCTTTGAAGCCTGGTGACACTTGGTGAATAATTAGGGGAAGAAATCTTTTGCACCCGAAGTCCCTCTAAGATGGTAAAATTATCAAAGCTGATTCCTATACTGCTAAGCAGGAAATGTAGGTAACTATAGCATACTCTATAATGAGCTTATCATTTTTTAGAAACAAAGTCTCTCTCCCTTTGCTGGAAAAATAAACAGAAAGTCCTGGCCCCCTTTAGTATTATCCAAATAGCAGGTTTTTCTCCCTTGATATAAAGCTATTAAGCCTTATAATCTCACCCTTTTCTTTTTCTTTCCTCAGCACCTGTACTTTGGGTACCCAAAACCACCCACATGGTTGCATTTTGTATCAGCTGAAGGTTCCGAATAGTTCTCTACGGTAACCCATCCCCATGTGAAGTGCATTGCAATAGTCCAACCGGTAGATGACCAGGTCACGAGTGACTGAGTGGACAGCCTCCCCATTGTCCTAATAAATAATTGGATTTCTTTTTAAACTTGGCTTGAGGTTCATGAGTTAATTAGGGCATCCATCGGGACCCTGACAAAGGGCGTAACTGGACCACAACATAAAGCTGAGCCAAAGTCCTCCTACCTAGGGCTACCAACTACTCTTTAAACAGGAGTCTTGAGTCCAGGAGGATCCTGCACAGGATCTGTCTGGTGCAACCCATCCAAGACCAAAGATGATAAACTCATATACAAATTGATATGTATATCAATCTCCAAGAAAAATAGTACATTTAAGGAACATCTTAATTTTATTCAGAGTATACTTACAAAATCTTCCTCCTCAAATTGCAATTTCTCCTTCTCTTCCTTTTCCTCCCTAGCTTCAGCAGTTGGCTTTTCCTGAAAAGCTGAATTCTTTCTGGAGTGGAAATTGCCATTCCAATGGCGATGAGATCCAGTTCCTCCTCCTCTCTGACTCATCCCATCATGGCCACGTGAAGAACCATGCCAACCTGGCTGACTGCCAGCTAGTCCAACATGAGTTCCTTTAGAAACACCAGAATCCACAGAATCATGGCGGTGCAGGGAAGGCTGATGCCAACAGTCTGGATAAGATATGAAGTAGTTACATAAACAAAGCTAGTTATCATTTGAAAAAATGCCACAATATACAAGACCTACTGCAAAAGATTAGATACAATAATATAATCTCATTATAGGAGCATCTCCTAACTAATAAACTGATATTCTATCAAATCACTGACATGAAGAGTATCAAACTACTGGAGTTCAAAACTGGAGGGTGGGAAGCCACAAGTGGAGAGAGGGGGAACACCAGCTGAAGTTCAAGCCTATTTTTTCTCCTGTGCTATTTACTTATCCAGCAATGAGTAACATACCTCCAGCAGTTCTGAGGGGGCCATTATTAAAGAAACCATCGGAAGAGTTGTGGCGTCTTCGGCTTACACCAAACCGGCCTTCTCCCCGAGGAAGATGTTCTCCATGCTTTTCAAAAGTAGCTCCAGGAGCCTATGAATAAAGGGGAAACATGTAAAGACGGCTGGGATCGTATTAACAATATATACATACATACATGCATACATATATACAGTCATGTATACATGAACTTTCAGAAGAGGCGGGTCAACAGCAAATTTAAAAATAATCCAAGTCACATTGGTAAGATACACAGAATAACTATGTATCAAGCTTTAACAATATAATTTTGAAATCTTTTAAAATATTTCTCAAAATTCATTCAAAATCTTTAACAATACAGTAAAAATCACTCTGTAAGGAGATGGATGATTCCAAAATGTGATAAATATAATAAATAAACTAATAAGATTCGTTACTATAGCACACTAAACTGATAAGTCTAAATTTAGTCTACATAACAGAATATATCCTCCAGAACAAATGATATTAAAATAAAAATCAAACACCCGCCTATATTTATACAAATGCATCATCCAAATGACATCTCAAGATTAAATCAATCTACTCTTAAATATGTCTACTTTATTAGAAAAGAGAGCTGAAATTAATTTGTTTCTTATTTCAACAATGTATCACTCTTATAATCAATTTGCTTAGATAGCACTGGTGGAATATCAGCAAATTTCCAAAAGTAGCTTTTAATTGTTTAAGAGGCAGCAGGCATCAACACATTTTTAAATTAAAATTAAATAAGAAAAATGGTCAAGATTTCATGTGAGGAAACAGATTTTACTATTTTGAAAAAAAATCACTCTATTCTAAACATCAGAATATAATGTCATATTTTTCTGTTTCAAGTTTCCATTTTAAACTAAATGTGTGGATTAACCAAAATATCAATGTATGTTGATACATTGCATAAACTCCTAGAGTATCTGCTAGGCAGACCACTTCAATTTTGCAGGGTTAGCACACTCCAAATTCCTTCAATTAAATAACATCACCTAACAAGACTCCAGAAGCAAGCCTTCTCTTTAGCAGTGACTACCATCTAGAATAAAGTTGCTCAGAAGAATGGTGAAACTCTTCACCAGGGCTTTCGATAGTGACCTGATCTTGTGTATGCATGTCATCTGGTCTGTTGTCCTTGCTATCTTTTACTGATGTTACTGCAATGTTACTCTTCTTTCATCGTTATGTGACCCATGGCAGTATACAAGTTTAATATAATAATAATAAATTGGAGCCAACAAAGCAACATTTGTTTCCAATGTTTGAACATTGGAAAATAATTGATTCATACTCAATTATCACTGAACAATGATTAGCAAAAAAACAACACCCCCCAAATAGTAGAAGAATAGAAGATACTTACAATAACAATTGGAAATATAAATGAAACAACTGATATGAATTACACAAAGGATAACTTAGAAGACATAACAACAGAACAAGTACAGGCTAATACAGAAACTGACCCACCAACAAGAAGAATTAAAAGAGAAGATTATGCAATAGTCCTCATGACCACAATTGAGCCCAACATTTATGTTGTTAAGTAAGAAATTTGTTGTGAATTTGCCCTATTTTACAACATTTTACGGCTTTTCTTGCCACATTTGTTAAGTGAATCACTGCAGTTCTTAAATTAGTAACAAGGTTAAGTGAACCTGGTTTCCCCATTGACTTTGATTGTCAGAAGATCACAAAAGGGAATCATATAACTCAGGGACACTGCAACCATCATCAATATGAGTCAGTTGTCAAGCATCTGAATGTAAGTCACCTGACCATAGGGATGCTCATGTCACTTTTTTCAGTGCCATTGTAATTTTGAATGGTCACTAAATGAACAGTTGTAAGTTGAGGACTACCTGTATTAGATAACACAATATCAACAGTAGAGACTTTCAAGTTTTTAGGTTCTATAATTTCCTAAAACTTGAAATGGACACCTAACATAACAAAGAACGTTCTTCCTGCACCAATTCAAAAAGCTCAGACTACCGAAAAAGCTGCTGATACAGTTTACAGAGGAATTATTTAGTCTGTCATTTGTACTTCTATTAATTCTTTGGTTTGGTACAGCAACTAAACAGGACAGGTACAGACTTCAAGAGATAGTTAGGACTGCAGAAAAAACAATTCCAACTAGTCTGCCTTCAATTGAGGACCTGTTCTGCACAAGCTAGAAAGATTGCTGAGCAAACATCTACAGACCCCTCACATCCTGGACACAAACTGTTTCAACTTCGCTATATAGAGCATTGCCAGAACAACTAGACCAGTGATGGCGAACCTTTTCGGCACCAAGTGCCCAAACCGGAGTGCGCACACATGGGCGAAGACCAGCTGGCGGGTGTACATGCGCACACCAAAAACCAGAAGAGCAGCTGGCAACCGTGTGCGTGCCCACAGAGAGGGCTCTGCATGCTACCTCTGGCACACGTGCCATAGGTTCACCATCACGGAATTAGACACAAAGATAGTTCCCCCTTCCCCATTCCACCATCACTCTGCTAAACACATAATTCCCACAACACTTGTCTTATGCCTAAGGATATCTAATCATGTAGTAGGACTGTATTACCATTATCCTTCTCATCTTTCCTGTTACCTATTCCTATTGGTATCTTATGACTCTCACTTCGTTAGTTGTATCTTATAATTTATGATTATATCTTATGATTTATGACTTTGTTAGTCATATGTATGCTGAGAGCTTATGAACTGGAGACAAATTTCTTGTGTGTCCAATCACACTTGGCCAATACAGAATAGTCTATTAAAATCAGATGCAAGTAATTTAAAAAAACACAAAAGAGAAAACTTGAAGAATGTAAGAATTAGAACAAACCTAATTTAAAAAAAATGGTTTAGCCCCAGACAATTAAAAAAGCTTTGGAAACCACAATGCAATAAATAATAGCAACAGGTGAGAAAGCGGAACATCTATAAAACTTATCACGTGCCAATAATGAAAAATTAGCAGGAACATAATTCAAATAGTAGCCAAAAATGAGGTTAAAATATTGTGGGATTTTCAAATACAAACTGATAAAATCACCAGATTTAACTGTGGCTGAAAAGAAGAAAATGTGGACAACCGATATAGCAGTTAGGAAATAGTAGAAGACAAAGAATTGGAGAAAAAGGACGTTGGTCTTACCTGAACGTCTATTTTCTGATGGGAGGAGGGAATGGTCACACGTGGGT